ATTGATTACAATATACATCTTTCATATTAACCTGATATACAATATAAGCCTTTTTTTCACACTCTCCTTCAAACTCAAGATGCTATGATATAGAGCAGCATAAGTTTGAACACTAAGTTGCAAAAATGAGCAGTTGGATCTTTAGGTGCATAGTGTGACCAGTAGAAGCAGTGGTTGCCATGCTCAGATTATTTGATCAAGAAGCAGAGGAACAATAGAAGAGGGCAGACTCAAGCAATTGAAAATCAATAAGTCTCAGAAACAAGAATAGGAACATAAAAAGCTTGAGCAGTAGCCGATACATAAGTCTTAGAAACAAATGGCTCAAACAGAGCAGGCTTGAGCAACAACAGATCAATGGGCCCTGGGAACGGACGGCGCGCATAGGGTAGGCTCGAGCAAATGACAAGAAATTTCATATCTTCACTTGAGACAGAAAAATAATCGAGAAAGCCGAGAAAATAGAATGACACTTGGAAGAGCCAACAAAACTTGATGCATATTTCTGATTGATTCAGCAACTCGCAAACAAATATATATGATTGGGTAACAGGGTAACAGATTCGATCTTCACTAAAGAATCTCGTGCCTTCATTGGAGAACCTCTCTTTGGGCAATGAAATCATAGAGAATGTTGCAGAGATCAAAGGGGGAGCAAGGGTACCAGAATGAAGCCTTGGAGAGAGAGAGACTCAAACTGGCTTTGAGGACGAAGTGGAAGCAATAATGGGTGTCTTTTCTAATGCCCACAAGGCAAGGGTGGTATAGATAAATCCAATTAGAATAAGGGAGAGCTTCTTCGCCTTAATTGATTGAAATCCCCCACGCTTCATGCTTTCATATCATCACCTTATTGTCACATAAAACAACATGGATAAGAACAATGCTGGTTGAAGAATGCTAGTCTCCAATTGTAGAACAATCATGACCAAAGAATTGAACCGTCAAATGACCATGGATGCTCGATCTTCGGTGACAATAGACTTGTGGATTAAACATAGAGGCCTCAGGGGTGGATTTTCGGGTTGGCTAGATCAGAATTTAGACAGATCTGGATCCTACGATCAAGATCCAGAGTCAAAACAAGCAGAGGAGCAGAAAAACCATTTTTCAGATGGGTCAATGGGTTAAATCGGGACATGATTAAGTAACAACAGATTAACCAACTCAATCGTACAAGAATGAACACAATAAAGATGAATCTGGCTTTGATACCATATTTAAAGTTTGAGGTTTCTCTAAAGACACTCAGTGTTCATTAATTGTATGAATATACAGACTTGTCTTTTATAAATAAAGTACATATGACAATAATAAAAATAAATCACAGTTTATAGACAAATTATATATGACAATAATAAAAATAAATCACAGATACTTATATTATACCTTGACTTACCATAAATACAAGATATTGTAACTACCATTCTCATATATATTGATCTCAATATATACCATCCATATTAACCTAATATACAATATATACTTTCATTTCACAATTCTTACTTAATTGTTCTCAGGGGAAATATATTAACCAATAGTTTAAGACTCGTTATAGGCCTTGAACTTGGCATGGTGCTGAAGCTAGTTACTCAGCGGAGTCCAAATGGACTTGCATGAGTAGTGCAAATTTAAAAGAAAAAAAAAAAACAAAAAACAAAAAACTCTTACCACCCACAGGCATCTCCCATTCTCTCTCTGCCAGGCGGTGCATTCAAGTAGAGGAGCAGGAGCAACAACATGAGTTGCAGGGGGTGGAAATTAAGATCAAAATAAAAAAAGGAAGGTAGAAATCCACCCGCACTTGAGAGAGAGTGTACCTGGTTGCATGCGAGAGAGAAAATTGAGTATACCTAGCTGCGAAAGAGTGAATGAAATGATGCAAAGGGGGGAGGGGGGGGGGGGGTTGGTCTTTAGAGAGGACCCGGTTCTGTGCGGCAAGCCCACATATGTAGAAATGCGGGCCTATTAATAAATCTATTTTTGAGATGGATTTTTGGACTTAATTTTTAAGGACATGTAATCTCTAACATGAAGATCATGAATATAAAAAAAAGAGAGTAAATTTTAAAAACTAGAAATAATAATTCTAGTAAGAAAAACTTTGAACTGTTAGTTTCCGTTGTTTTTAGATCGAACACCAACTTGTATCCATCTTTAAGATGGATGCTTTACACTTTTTGGACTGCATATGTAGTCATGCGGTCTAGGATGCATGAAACATTTTTCCTTTAGAGAGAGAGAGAGAGTGTGTGTGTGTGAAAGTGAAAGTGAGAGATTGGTAGAGAATGAGTAGTACAACTCACGTTTAAGAGGGAGTTGTACATGGTACTTGGGGACTAAGGGTGGCAATGGACCTGGAACGACCTGACAAATAGACCCAACCTGGGTATGGGTCAAAAAATTTGACTTGGCAGATCTGGCGCAGGCCCGAATCTTGGACCTAAACACTATTTATATTACATATCCGACCCGGATCGGACCCCAATAGTGTTGATCTTTAAATAAATTTTAAATAAAAATAATTATGTATTTTTAAGGGAAAATATTTTCATACCTCCTATTTTTAGGTTTTATTTCACAATAGACCAAGGCTTTAAAAGATATCTTGAGGCATAAAAATTATAGATTTTATTTCTTCTAACCCCTGAGTTAATTTAAACTTGTTTTTTTAGGCCAAACGAATCTAAAAAGACATAAATTTTCTTAAAGTCAACCTCCCTTTCTTAACCTCTCTCCCTTCATGTTCTCTCTCCCTATCTGCCAAACCTATGTTTCTCTCTCCCCATCTCCCAAAACCCTCTCCGTATTTTCCCTATTTTCTCTCCCTGTGTCTCTTACTCTCTCTCTTCCCGTGCTCCCCCAACTCTTTTTCTCTCTCTCTCTCTCTCTCTCTCTCTCTCTCTGTATAACGTAATAACGTAACGTAACCGTAAACGTAAACTAAACTAACGTAACGTTAACGTTAGTAACGTACGTACTACGTCGTACGTCGTACTACGTAC